CTGAAAAACTGTTCAAAATGATCCTCCTTCACGCAGGCATCCTGTCTTCAGTTATTTATTGATAACTCGATGCGACAGCATTTCCGTATACAATATCCCCGAGATATTAATCATCCGATGGCGCGGTACGCTTTTAAAAAATCCTGCTCGTGTGTTGCGCGCACGTTGGTCCTTGTGCATGCCCGACCCGTCGGGCTTCGTCGCGGGTTAATAGTATGCAAATGAATATCCCTGAAAACAGTATGCAAATAAATACCGTAAGCTAAATATGGAGACGTCTGGCTCTCTCCTTCCTCTTTCTCTCTTTCGCCCGCTGTCTTCCACCCTCTTTTTTTCCACGTCGCGTCAGAATAAGTTAATACGTCTGCGTAAACGCCACGGAAACGGCCCTCGAGCTTCAGGCACCGACGAGGGCCACCGCCAGGAATTTCCTCGCGTTTCACAGTACGGCGCACAGTTGCGCGGGAGGTTAGTTTCGGCTTGTAAAAATCCCGACTGCAACGGACGCACGCCGCGCTGGTGGTACTCCATTCCCTTTTTCACCTTAGGATCGCGTACACCACCAGGACTCCGACTTCAGCAACGCTGAATTAATGCACCAAGCCCACTCGAGTCCACGCGGAACGCGTGCACGTTTGCGTTGTTCCTCGCTAAGGTCGCTACTAAGACTTCACTCGAGTACTTCTGATTATTAAAATGCCTGTTCCCTATTGTTCTCGCATTTCATCTCGCGCCACGGCCGCTCCAAGCAACGCGGCTCGGCGGCGATGGCTACTTTTCGGTATTACGATGTCTAATTAATTAGTTGTTTCTTCTTGCCAGTCGAAGTATAGACCAATGGATAAGTCCCTGATAGATCAATTTATGTTTCGAACAGGGACTCTTAACTGTTACTGTTATTTATTTAGAAATTCGCCACGATGTAGGGAACAGTATTGCCCATAGATTTTCTATCAGGTTCAAGTCCGGAGTCCAAACGAAACTTGAAATGGTTGCAATTGTAACTTTTGTCGTGTGCTTTAGATCCCTATTGTATCGATGCAAAATATCCCTCTTATGTATTCACAACCCTTCATCTCTCGGAAATATCATAATTTTGGACATCCTGTATAAACAAATGATCAATTTTCAGAAAAAGCACTTGTATTGCTTTAATTTTGCTTGTCACTGATCATGTAACATCAAATAGATATTACAAACCTTATTTCCACGAACACGAAGGTATATCGTTATGTAAAATTAACCAATGTTATGATAGTTTCGAAAATAATCCCGATGAACATTTTTTGTACCTTTTACTTTAAATGCTATTTTACCCGGCGGCGAATACAGGGAGATCCAGGAGATCTATCGGAGCCAGCTATTATCTTTCCGGTGGCATGAACTATTTTGTTCATTGAACGCTCGGGTATCTCAGCTTCTATATGAGCTCGATTTTAGCGGGTTCTGGAAAGTCGTACGATCCATTATCGTTCTAACCGCCGTTTCCGAGCGAAATTTCACTGGATCCCAGTGGGAGTTCTGCTGTGCACTCCGACGGCTGTTCTACAATACCTACAATCTGTTTCTTCCGTTTAGCGCGGTAATTGCGCTATTATTGCGAGTGTCGCGGTCCGTCGCTACGACTCCTCCTATCTCCGAGCCATTTACGCAGCTATTTACGCAGAAATAACATTTTTCGATGGATCATCGGACTCGCGTATCTATGCTCGGTTTACACGGCGAATGAAAAATGGTACTCGGGAACGGGTGCGCGAATGCAAATGCGCCATTATTGCTAGACGCTGGCAACGTAATCAGAGTAAACATGAATTTCCACTGCTGAAAATACCGTGTCGAATTTTAATTAAAATCTGTCGAATTCTTTATTGATGAAACGAACAGGTTTCTATGTTTCGTGTGTTCTTTATTACAATTGTAGCTTGAACAATAAAACAAACGACAAAACAAATATATTACTTCTGTAACATAACAGGAAAAACTTTCAACTTTGGTCTCGTTGCTTTCTCGCACGAGCTTAATTCTTACTTTTTACCATTCTGTGCTGATCAGGGATTGGAAAGGTTCTGAAAATATAATAACATTCTAATACTACGTCAAGATTATACTCAGTGTCAGTATTATTTTTTTATATTATATTATATAAAATATAATAATAATTATATATTATATTATATTTATTTTGAGCACAAGGAATGACAATACTGCTTTTTATAACGTCAAAAAAAAATTCTGTTTATGAAATCAGTCAGTTCTATTTTCACAAAGCAACACTTATAAAATGAATTTTGGGTACTTATTTCTACCACACGTGTACAGATTTAAATTACATCTCTTTATCAGTGTAAATAATAGAACAGTAAACAAAAATAAAAATTAGAGTTACCGTAAATTGCTCTCTCCCCAAGATCTTTCTTTCCTTAGATTTTTACAAAAGAATTCACGAAAATGAGAATTTGCTTGAAGATCCGCGCAATCTACTAATCAATAATCGCGTTTCCGTAGACTGATAGTATGTTCAGCGTTCACATGTCTCGGTTAACATGTCATAGTTTTGTAAACATCGCAAAAACAGAACCTCGAAATTGGTTTCTTTTGTGCCCATAGTCGCAAACGGTAAAATCCACGGGGACAAGAAGTCTAATGAAGCTTCATCGTGCAAGGCAGAAGCACCGTTTACACAGTGGAACTTCATTAAACCGGCCACCCCATGTGGGTGTACACGCGTTCTGTTTTATTGTTCCTGTACGCCGACACACAATTTTCTATGCATAAGTCATCCCCGTTACCAGCGCTTAACTAAGAAATTGCTGGGCCGTAGTATTTAATTCGAGTCCTCGGAGTGTCTGCGGTATTTATCTCGCGGCATTTCTCATTTTAATTAACTGTGCCGTTTCGTTCAGCCCCCCCCCCTCCACTGGCACTAAATGTTTTCTTTCAATTAATTATATCAAGCTGGAGAGGTAACGCGAGAACGCAAACACAAAGGTCCAACGAAGAGGCGAAATCAGAGAGAAATCAGAACGGCTTTCTTTGCATAAATTCAATATATATATAGATTGGAACACAGCACGCCCGAACAAATAATAATATGGAAAGAAGATTGCGTCGCGAACGATATTGGCAAGCTTCATTGCCGCTGCATTTCATTAGGATTTCTGCTGCTATATATATAGCTATTGTCGATGACCGACCAACCAGACGTTCAACGACATCGGTATACGTCTTGGTGTATCGGTAGAAGCATTCGTACGTTAGCTCATATTTCCGTAACGTTGTTGCAGAATACTTTCAGCAAGTTCGCTGAACCAAATGGAGGTGGATCGAGTTACTCGAAGTATGCTCAAATGTGTACGAGTTTAATGCGGTCAATACACGTTTACGTAAGTTTAGTCCTTCTTCTCGGACTTTTGTAACAACTTCTAGTCAACCTATATATATATATCATTTTATTAGCCCTTTGCATTCCACGCTTTTTCCCATGGAGTAACCAATTCTTCAAGAAAAATAGAATAAGATTGTATATAATCAAATTGAAAATAACTTTTTTATTAGAATAATAAAATTATAATATAATATATACTATATTATATATTAATTATATTAATATATATTATATTTATATAATATAATATATATAATATTTATATAATATATAATTAATATTAAAATATAAATAAATAAAAAGCAAAATGAAAAATTCTAAATTATTTATATGCTCAAATAAACTAACGCATGGTTATATCGAACAACATGTAGCCAAATAAAATAATATATTATTGTAATTATGATATTTCAAATAATTTATTCGAATAATGCCGAATGTCTGCGCTGTTCTTATCGAATGCTGACCGCAACTCCAGAAAAAGAAAGTTTGATAAACATAAAGTGGTAGGCAATGCCGGGGCGCACTGGCTGTAACATCCCCTCATAGTTCAACAAAGTTCGGTGGCTCATTTTTGCATTGCCGCTGACAGCAAGAAACTGACGACGGTGTAATTAGGGCGATAAAACAAGCAGCCTGCTCTGTTTTTGACAGACCTAATACGCCGGGGTACCGGGGACTTGGTTTCTTATCGTGAAACTTGTTTACACCGTGTTTTACACCGGCCTCGCCTGCGGTATGATTTTTGCCAGGGAACTCTGATACGAAGTTGCGAACTCCGCGGTCAGGGTGGTCGCATTTTACGGGTCGTTTAATTTCGCGAGATTCGAATGATACGCATTTCTTCGGACCTCGCTTTGCCAGAACCTAAATGTCTCGTTAGATCGAGGAATCTGTCAAGAGATTTTGAATTAAAGTAGAAGTACCTATCATGGAACGCTTTTCGGACGGTATAAGATTATCATCGATTTTATTATAACTAACTGTAAAAGTGTTATTGTGGTATATTTTTCGGTAACGTCATGAACTTCGAAATATTTATTTAGTACGAATAAAAATACAATTGTCAACATCTAATCCTCATTCATTTTTTATCTATGAACCTTAACACGTTTTATAAACAACGTACGAATGTCTATTGATCGACGAACAAGAGGATGTATAACTATATTTAAAAAAATTTAAATGAACTTAATTTTTTTATTAACCGAAATGTTTCTCACGCATTGGCGATGAACTGACGAGAAGATAGTTATTATAGATTATTATTATTATAGTTATTATATATTATAGATTAAGATAGTTAGCATTGTTAAAATTTGGCAAGAAACATTTCGTTTAATAAAAAGATTAAGTTTATTTGAACTTTTTAAAATAAAATTCTATGTTCTATTGTTCATCGATTGTTAGATCCTCGTACGCCCTTCAAAAACGTGCAGAGGTTCCTGAGATCGAAAATCAATTAGGATTAGCAGTCAACAATTTCGTATCAAAATCAACACTGTGCATGGTCGCGAGCGCGTTAAGGAATAATGAGCGTAAGTTTGTACGCGGTGGAGAATAATATGCTGAAATCAACAATATTGACTCGTTATACTCGGTTTTGCATGCGCAGTTGGGATGCCGACCATGGAACCTCAGTCTGACCAGCGTGGTTGTTCTGGCGTTGTCGAACATGTTGCTGACTTTCCTGTTGCTGCAGTCGGAGACCTGTATACCGGACGAGGTGCCCAGGGACATGGAGGTGAACGTGATCACCGAATGGAACCTGGGCACCCTGATCAAAGAGCAGCAGCAGCAGCTGCAGTTAGACTGCGTGACGCAGGATTACCAACCGTTGCCAGTTGATGGGCACAGTATGAAGCTGAACATAAAGTTGGGAAAATGGGATGCCCGTAAATTGTTCCGCACGTTCGACCATGTTCTGGTCGGCACCGGGTTCGTCGAGCTGTCCCAGATCTATCAGGTGTGCCTGGCTATGCAGAGCTCGGTGGAGAAGCTGCACTCGGTGGTCCAGGCGGCCCACCATTGGACGGGACCGATCTCGGTGGCACTGTACGCCGCCGGCGACGAGGAGTTCGAGGTCCTTCAGAGGTACCTGGTCTACCTTAGGAAATGCTACGAGCCGATACGCGAGAGGGTCGCCTTCTCGCTGGCCGTGCCAAAGGTCAGGCCGCCGAAGAAGCAGCCGCGCGAGTACGAACTGCCCGAGCCGCTCGATTGTGCCAAACCGGAAGCGACGCTGAACGAGCTGATGAACGGGATCTCGACCGAGCAGACCAACTGGCGGATCCGGAACGTCTATCCCCAGAACCACATGAGGAACCTGGCCAGGAAGAATTGCCAGACCGACTATGTGTTCCTGACGGACGTCGACATCGTGCCGAGCTTCAACCTGACTGGCGCCCTCGACGAGTTCCTCAGGGCCGATACCTGTGATAAGTGCGCCTACGTGATACCGACGTACGAGCTGGACTCGCGCGTCAGATTCCCACAAAATAAGACGGAACTGGTCCGGCTGGCGAGGAAGGGCCTGGCTAGGCCGTTTCACCAGAAGGTCTTCATCCACAATCAATTCGCAACTAATTTTACTAGGTAAGCATGTAGGGAAATCGAAAGCACAATTAGCATAGCTTGAGAAACGAAAGTTTTTTATTCGTTTGAAAAGGAGATATTTCATGCGAATTTATTGAAAATATATAGATATCATGCAAAATCCTTTTGCGATTTTCTGTATAAACAATCTGATGCTGTCGAATCTAACGGACACTCTTCAATTTTTTCAATATAGATGCGAACAATGATTCCTTCTTTCTTTCTCTCGCAATTCAAGGTGGATCCTAGATACTTCCCCGAACCATAAGAATTACGGAAACGTGAAGACTGGTAAGGCTTACGTCAGCCACGATGTGACGAACTTCGAATTCCTTTACGAACCTTTTTACGTCGCGAAAGACATCGCTCCACCTCATGACGAACGGTTCATGGGCTATGGGTACACCAGAAATACACAGGTAAGTCAATCAACGATAAGCCTAATTGCTAAAATTATTCTCGTTCGTACAATATTTTCATTCGTAAACACTGTTAATCGGTAACAAATGACACTTGTTCGAAATTTTATGCATCATCTATTAAAAACGTGATATATATATATATATATATATTATATGTATATTAATTGCTGTGAAGTCTTGATACAGACTTCTACTTAATACAGATTCCAAAATATCCTAGAAACAGCGACCGATACCGTAGCAAATATCGTTCGCACTAAAATAAAAGTAATGTCGATTCGGCGATGAAAAAAATTGCGAGTGAAACTCGGATCGTTTGGCTCTTAATGGGTTAATATTTTTTCCGTATTTCGTATAACGACAAAATCCGCGATCCGAAATTTCATTACATACAATTTCACCTCTTTCGGACGCCATGAAACGCTTTAACGGGATTTAAAGCGCAATCCAGCCGACCGAATCGATGGGATGAATAATTAGCGCAACACTATCGATCCGCTGCAATCAATTATCCCGCCGCGCCGGTTTCTTAATTTCTGCACCTGTACCATCGATGCAATCTCCGAGCTGGCTGCGATCGGGGGCATTCGAAACGGAACGAGGGGGAATCGAATTAAAGCCGGTCGAAACTGGACTATATCTCGCGAGCAGCTTATTTTAATTACTCGTGCCGGTTTTTTACGCCGGCTGGGACATTCGAACAAATGAGAGTCCGGCGGTGTCAGGTGGGCGCGGACGCGACCGGACGATATTAGAGCGCGGCGAAATGAAAAAAATGTATATTTGCACGGTACATAGAAGGGTTCGCGAAACTGCACCCCGGTGCCCGTGTCCTCCGGGAACGCGCGGGGGCGGTGCCGGGACCGGGAGCAGTCGAACGAGAGCGCGGGAAGAACACGCGGGTAGTTTGGTAGCACGAAACTCGAACGAGCAAATCCCGCGGCAGCCAGGAACATTAATTGAATTACATATTATCATTGCCGTCGTTATCGCGCGATGGAGGCTCATTTTCCAGAACAAGCATTATTCAATTTAAACTTGATACATCTCACGCCCTCTAATCGAACGTTTGCATATCGAGGACGCGCGCGCCCTTGCCTCCTCGTCCCATGGCTTCGCCTCACACTCGGCTATCGCGTAAGGGGTAATTCGTGTTTCAAACTGTACTTTCCGGGCCCGTTAACAATTTACGGCGAACACCGCGGGCTAAACGTCAAACTAAAACTGACGATTTTCCGGCGGCGGCTAGTCGCAAGGGAATCCGGGGAATTTCTCAACCTGGCTTCAATCCTGGCCGTTACCATGATTGTTGATATTTCTGTAAGAGAAACACTTGATTTGTCGGAAGAATTCATGGTGAATTTTTGTAATCGGTCGGATCTTTTTTATGTCGCTGAACTTCTTCAGCAACTTCTTCCTTTACAAAAATGTTCTCCGAGGCACCGTTAACGAGTTATCAACGAAAAACAGTGACCAATAAGAATCGAGTACGGCCGACGCGAGGCGGCCCAGCCAAACCAGCGCGCGAAGCCCAGTTCCGCTCATTGGCTCGATCGCCTCGTGCCAGCCGAGCTCGCCTCTCATTGGTCACTGTTTTTCGTTAATAACTCGTTAACGGTGCCTCGGAGAACATTTTTGTAAAGGAAAAAGTTGCTTCGAATGGCCCGAGGAACCCGCCACTTTCGGATTGCGAGACATTTTTGGGACACCCTGTATATACAGACAGAATATACAGTAACAGGTTCTGTACAGTACACATCAGACTCTGCCGTCCAGAGAAATAGTCTCGCGCAGAATTCAGCCGTACCTAAAAGGTTCGCGCATCTACAATGCAATGCGTAGCTACCATTTGGGTGAAATTCAAATCTACAGCTTTTTTAGAAAAGCTTTTCGGAGGGTTGAGCAAACCATGATCCAAAGCTTCCTAAGAAGTCGTCTGTTACCTCGGATTCATAGAGGTGTGCAGGAACTTTTGAACGGTAGTGTACACAATTTCTGGTCGGAGAACGTGTCAGGCTAGCGACCGTACACCAGCTTAGGTTCGCGGCTGTGTACGGAGGAGCCGCGCGGCTGTTTTACGCCGGTGTTACCACGCTACGTGGCTACGTAGATTTACACCAGTTTTATTGCCGTCGCTGTGGCATACTTCGTTCTACGAACACGCAGCGGTACGTCGCGCTCGGATTTTCGCCAGTGCGATGGAATTTTCGCTATTTCCACGAGGAAGCCGCGAACAGGGTCATTTCGTGAGACGTCACCGTCATTGGAAAAGCTGGGACGCGTTATCCATATAACATCTTGCTCCTGCGCAGCCTCCACACGTTCTCTTTATCCGACGTTCATAATTAACATTTGGACGACGTTTGGACTCGACGTTTCAAAACCATCAGTCTAGTTACTCGGCCTCTGGATTTATTTCTCAAGAGACTTTTCAAGGAAGGATATACACCCCACCCCACCCGCCCTCTAAAAGTATTAGGACACCTGCTGATTTAATATGATAATAATAATTTAATATATAATATAATTATATAATTATAATTATAAAAATATAATATAATAATATTAATTTAATATAATAATAATATAATAATTGTAATTTTTTTCATTCGGTTTAGGTAATGTTTTATGTTTTGTATTAATACCCCTTTAATTGTTTTCTTATAAATAAAAATTCCAAATGTTGTTTACAGCGATGGGAAATAATCGGCACAACATGTACATATGCACTGTGTGTATATGCTAAATCTGAAGAGAATGCTCTGAATGTTTAACTAGTGATCATTAAGATTTTATGAAGTCAAATAGATTACGTTTCGTTTGAAATAGTTTGTTGGTTTACAAACGAAGTTGCTATCCTTGTCCATTTTGTTGTCCCTCTTTTCGAAAATCCCTGCCATTGTTCCGTCGACACAAACAATTGGCCCATGATTTGTCACTGGTAATCACTGTGAGTACGTGTGTGCGTGTGCGTGTAAACCAGAGTTCTCTGATGTCTGTGCATGACGTACAAACTTATTCTGAAATTACAGTGGCCGCACGGTAAGTACTCAAGTTTGAGACTCTAGACCGGACATGTTCAACTATGGCTGTGGGGCTAACTCTACTCCCTTGACTCCTAAATTGCATTGAAAGGCAAACTGAAAGTGTCGTGTTACGTCTTACAGTGGCTCGCAGTTCGGTGCCTAAGTGGTTCAACGGAACTAGATAAAGAATCTAGGAAGGTACGTTTAAAAAACATTTAAGGAAAGGTGTAACCTTAATGTAATATATTTGATCAGATTTTGATATTGAAAAGTTAAGTTGTACGATCGACGTAACAATTCATTTTTTATTCCGAGCAAATAATTTCGTCACCCGCATACAACGTTACGCGACTGTCAAAGTACAGTAATTTCTCCCGGAAATGCCAAATTTCGGGTTGCTGTGAAATCCCCTCTATGTAATTTATTGCAACGTCGATGCCAAGGGTCGACGAATCTTTTTTACGAATTTCAACCAATTTTTACATCTTTCAGTGGCTGTAGCTTGACTATGGGCCAATCGATTTCGATGAAATTTTCAGCATGCGTATAAGTTACTGAAATCTACAAAATGCAGCATTTTTTAATTCTTTTATCGCGCCAAGAAATTACAATTATAATAACGCGAGTATATCGGTCGAGCGTGAATGATTTTCCTCAAGTAATACGGGTTCAAGGCCGGAAATCTCAAGAACGGCAACTATTCGAAGAACCTTCGAAAAGCTACGTTTAACTAATCGGAAATTTCGAACGAGCATCGCACAAAAATCGTCGAGATCGAATAGACTTTATTTATTGTAGTAACATAAGCGGTTTTCATGTTGCATCAGAATGTTCTGCCCGTATACGGCATGTATCCCGATACTTTTGAACGGGCGTGTACGTACCCCGGCGTGTACCGGAATTCGCATCTTTTCTGCGGATCGCGCGTTCGCACAACATCCACTTCCCACGGAGGAATAAGGATGGATATCGTTCGCCTTTTCTACCCCCCTTGTATCTCGCAGTGCTCCAGTCAGCCCTTTGCGTACCCTCGTCCATCCTCTCTCGACCCAATACAATTCTGTCGCGCCATTCTTTCCTCGAGCAACCGGTTCCCTCGACTTTCGTTTGCACCCCGTTTGTACCCATATTCTGTTCCGCCACGACACCGAAGGTACGTTGATTTCTGTGGAAAAATCGAAAGATGAAACATCCCCCTGGGCAATATTTAGCATTTCGTGCTTACTCTCGGTGTTCGCGAATCGCGTTCGTTCATGATTTGCATGCAATCGCAGTTCATTCCGGTTATTAGTGTTTCCGGTTTAGTGTTAAATAAATATATAATAATATATATTTTATATATTATTTTTGTACATATGAAATTGGATTTTGCCACTCATACGACAATTGCAGTTTTAACAGTTTTCTAAATATAAGCAAATTCGACGATATTACAATTATTTTGAAACGTGACATGACAATTTTTCGTGGTGACTTAGAATCACTACCCGACCACAAAGGGTTAATGTACCCGATAACATTTGAACGGTATCACGCTCGACGTATTTTTCAATTGCTCGCCGATTTAAAGAGACAATTGATTCCGGTTATCCGGCGGCATCCCTTTTTTTTCAACGGGATGGCGCGCGATTCACCACGTTCGAGGTGATTGATTCCCTATCGTGATTCAGTTCTGCAGATAAACGCGCCCTCGAAAGATTCATTATTGTCGTATTTATCTAGCTCGGCGATCAACGTCACGAACAAATCGAATTGATATCTAATCGAGCCGACGCATCAGATTGATTGTAGCTCCTCGCCTGGAAATGTACTTCCTCGACGAACCGACAGCGATCCTCTAAAGCGGCCTATCATTTTCATTTACTCGTTCCTCGATACCGTAACACGCTGATCCTTGTGAATCAAGTCGTTCAACTGTAAATTGTAGGCAGAGCCGGCCGTCAAATTTAATACAGCGGACGATGAAAATCG